AAACGCAGCTGAAACTAGTAGATTTATGTGGTTCAAGAAATCACCTACGTCCACAGAGTTGCAGATTATTTTATTTCCTTGAAGAATTGCACCATCATCGGTCGTCTCGACGTTTACATGAAAGAACAATCTCTCTCTCTCTCCCAGCTTCTCTCTCCTCTCTCCTCTCGAGAGCAACAGCCGAAGAAGAGTCTGAGAAACCAAATCCTGACAGAGATTTCAAGGGGAGCTGTAACATGACTATTTATTAATTCCTTCATACTATTAGACCCATTAAGGAATTAATCAAATTATTATGAAACACATTAATTATTTTCTTCTCTTCTGCAGCAAATCATAATGGCTGGATTCATGCAAGGGAAAGTTGTAGAAAATCTAGGGAAGAAATTAAGAACAATTAATTTTGTAATTAATTTCTTAATTCCGAGTATCAAATCTAATTTGCTGTCAAACATGAGAAATTATCAATTTGATTGACAAATTATCAATTTGAACAGTGGATCAGTTTCCAATTTGCAACAATTGGGTATTATATGCGTGAGTGCTCCTAAAACATCATATTACACCTTTTCATGCAAAGATAGAATAATATGCATGTAAAAATTGCAGTTTAGGTGTTAGATATGTAAATACTTATGAATTGATCAGTGGAATGTATGTAAATCTTCTTTACAAAAACATATTAAGTAAATTATCAAACTAATTTTGGGCAAATAATTATCGAGTGATAATAAATTACTAAAAGGTAGATTTAAATACGTACCACAATATTCTTATATATTTACATATCTAACTTTAAAATTTTTAATTTTAGATGAATTTCAGCTTTTCTTTAAGTTAAAATAACGGTGCTTGATGGGAAATGGAAATTTTGGGTGACAAAAATGTAAAAAAAGAAAAGTTTAAGTGTTAGATATGTAAATAAATAAGAATCGTGTGGTATTTATGTAAAAGCCCCTTAATAAAAATCCTCCTCGGAGCCATCGGTTAAAGCAAACAATTATTATCGATAATTACATTTTAATGATAAGGGCAGATATTAAATTATGATTTAACATACGCAATAATTAATAGAAAAGTCATTTTCCTCTTAACAGAGTATTCATTAACAACAAAGGATGTCAAATCACCTGAAACATGTGATTCTTAAACAATCGTTAAATCAGACCATGCCCGGCTTTCAAATAAATGAATTATAAAATTAAAATTACAAAATATGATTTTCTTTTTTTTCATTTTAATAAAGATTTTATTATGTTTAAATTTAAATTACGTTATTTAATGACAATGAAGCCACAAATATGTGGTTGAATTGAAAAAAAAAAAATTAGGTTGGAAATGAAGTTGTTGAACAAAACATGACTTTTGAGAATAAAAATATTGCACCCAAAAAAAAAATAATGAATAAGAGACATATAATGACTCAACCTTGCCAATGGTCTGAGCAAGTCTGACTCGATCGGTGTGATTTTTTTGAACTATCGAACCCATTTATTCATGCATTCTATTGAGAATTTGATAATAATTGTAAAACAAAATGGGTTGGAGTATAGACTTAATTTTGATATTTGAGCGAGAATTTCAAAAATGGATGAAAGAGGGTGGTTGATTTGTAAATAGAAAATTTTAGGTTAGTATATATGTAATTGCTCCGATTTTTAATATGAGACTCACAGGAGTATGTATTCATGTTAATTAAATAAAGCATGTTTTAATGTTAAATATCTTATGTTTATTAAAGTTTAAAATAGTGATATTTTTTAAACTGTGATGTGAAAAAATGCTACAAGTTTAAGATGTAAGAACTAAAAGATCAGGTGTCAGCCATGTAAATATAAAGGAATTGGGTGGTATGGATGTAAATGTCCTTTTAAAATTATAAATATTTTTAATGAAATATCCCAACAATATTAGCTCGACCGACGGTTAAATAATGGGCTTCATGAGTGGGCTGTTCTCAACCCAGTAGATTTAGTAACAATTATCTTTGTTCTCTATAAACAAGGCGAATTTAGGTTTATTAGTATTTTAAGGAGATAATCTATTCCAACCAAACAAATGATCTTATAACGTTTTTAATTATTATCATCAACAAATAAATCACATCAAATCTAAACGGACATTTCAACCAGAAGCTTTAATAATTAAATTTAAAAATGCCCACGTTCTAATTTACAATCAAGTGAAGTATCTTAAAGGGTGTAGTTGGAAGCTATTGCCGGTGGCTACAAGAACGTGTTTGTTGCCAACTAATTCTATTGTAGTCGCTAACTTCGATCTATGTGACTAACTAATGATATTAAAACTTACAACAATGGCCTTTGTGGCCAACTATATGGTATGCAAAAATCAAGTACGGCTTTTGTGACATACTACTATTGTTACAACTTTCAATTACAATCTCTGTGTCAACTATTATTATTATAGTCATCGATTACAACATTTATGATCAACTACATTTGTTGTTGCCCAATTGGGATTATTATAGGTGAACTATTATTGGTCTATGCAGCCAACTATTGCTATTGCAGCATCGATTACAACCTTTCATGAACAAGTACATTTGTTGTAGCTCAATTACGATTATTATAAGTGAACTATTATTGTATATATATATATATATATATGTAATTATTAGCTTTGAGATTTCATTCTCTATATCATAAGAATAGTAGGTCTATATATTTACAAACACAAATAAATTTCTTTAACTGGGCCCGTGATTCTTTCCCTTTTAAGGGGTTTTCCACTTAAAAAAGTTGTGTCTCTTATTGCTATTATCTATTTTTTGCGTGTGTGATTGATCTTTGTAATGCGAAAACATTAAATTATCGTTCTACAGGCACAAATCTTCCAGCACGCATGCAACAATTATCATCGGTAGTATTTGAACAATAGTATTTTGAAAATTGAAATAATTTCTTGAAAATATAGAGACCGAATTTATGTAAGCAAAAAATGTGTTGGAACTCCTTCATTTTATAATAAATGTTCTTCTTTTCTAGAACACTATTTCTAATTAAGTAAACGTATGGCAGTCTAATAATAATAATAATAAAAATTAGAAAATTCATAAACTAAGCAAATGTTTAATAAAATATGGCTAAATTTGCTTAAAAAATGAAATTAATAATTAAATACCCGCAGACACTAAACGTGTTATTTAAATAAATATTTTCCTTCGGAAAATAAACTTTTTATTTCCCTTTCATCCAATTAATCAGTAGAAGTAAAGCCAAATACCATACAATAATAATAATAATAATTATACTAATAAACAAGACATGCCCTCAATAATATAGCTAACGAGAAAACAGTAAATTGGGTAAAATTAAATATATTATCTCATATTCATTTATATTAATATTAATTCACCATGCCCATGAGCACTATCTAACCCAGAAAATTATAGAATCAAATTATTTTTATCTTTTCTACCTACCATCAGCAACCACTCAACTTTAATATTGATTAATCAGTGCTATATATATATATATATA